ATGACGGTAGGCTGACACAACAAAAACGCTAATGCACAATTATCAGGACTTTTATAGACAAATGTTTAAAGAAACATGTTTTGTAAAGTTGTAAATAAATTTAAGAATGTCTCTGTCACGGTCTGGCAGGCAGACCGTGGGGATATGGGGAATGAGGACCCAAAACGCAGACTCTGCGATGCAAACAGTGCTCTTTATTTACAGTGAGAAGCTGTAAACACAATAACTCCCCGTTGTTCCCTTGAACCCCGTGTGTGTGCTTCCCTCCGACGTCTGTGCTCGTGCTCGTGCTCCCCGCTGTTGTTTCCGCACACCCCGTGCGTGCTGCCTTTCTAGACCACTCTTCCTCCTGCAGAAAAACCATAGAAGCAGCCGTCAACACTAACTCTGGCGGGCATACACGAACAGCACTGACATATGCTGGCACACTAACTTGGTAGGATACTCAATGAACCCGCGCCGGTGGGAGCTCCAACACTCTCCTAAGTAGCTCCCCCGACGAGCCCTGATCGCCAACAAGTGTGTGGCAGGAACTTCAGGTGTGGCCAGTCCTTCTGCCGGGCCACACCATTAGGCCTGCATGTGGCTGTTCTCCATCCTCCAGCCACACATGTACACCCTGCCTCTACATATAGTGAGTGGAGCACAGAACAGTGCAGAAAGACACACATCCCTAAATAACAAAAACGACAATACTAATAATACCAATAATGGTCCATCCTGCTCACGGACCCCCGAGTTCACCAGAGCCGGGTCCGTGACAGTCTCAGAGAGCTCCTGAGCTAAAGATTGCTGCACTTGATTCACAGAGTGCTACAGACACGAGAAAAACAAAAATCTACGTCTGATTTTTTTCAACATTTTTCATTTCATTATTTGAAAAAGCAAACTTTGATACAGTCCCTGTGAATAAATTTTATAATTATTAGATTTAAACAGATTTAAACAGTGTCCTTTTTATAACATATAAAAAGGACACTGTTTAAATCTTGAAAAACGGTATAAAAATTAAACGCATCCCTACAGACTGTGACCTGTGACAAGGTAAGGTGTTTATGTATTTTGTGTGGTCGTCGTCCATAGACCTAAAGAGATTTCTGTAGCCTTTAGAAAAATTATTATGTATGCTTTTATGTCTGGTAGGTGATTTAAACAAGATCTCCAAATTATCT